GGCAACGTCAAATTGAAGAAATGGGGCGTTCAAAAAGTCAACGTCCCTTGGTAGCGTAGGGCAGGCAGAACAATGGGATAATGCTGGGCCACGTGAGCAGCAGCAAAACCGCGGCCCGAAGGAGCCGTTATTGCAGCTCCATCGGAGCCGGCCATCCTTACATCCGTGCTCTGCAAGCGCCAGAAACAGAATCCCGCTACGGACTAGGACGCTCCCGACTAGGCCACGCAAACTCGCTTGCACGGCTTGGGTTTTATATTGCAACCGGGACGACATCCACGAGTTGTGTAGAACAATTACTCGGACCATAGCATAATCACCCCCCTTGCCTCGTGTGTGTGTAAGCGGGTGTGTGTCTGTGTGTGTACGCGTGTCTGTGTATGTGTGTGGATGTGCCTGTGGGTGTTGTCTGTGTGTCTTCCTTTACCTTTTTGTCTAGTCTAGTCTTTGCTCTTCATAACGCCGTCCGGTTGGTGAAGGGGGCACAATTTGTGAATGGGCGCAATGGCTTTCCCTCCTCGCCTGCACACCAAACGGCACCCCAAACTTTTAAGTGCAATAAAGTAGTATCACTATCACTATCAATATAAGCGCGCCAGCATGCACAGACGTGGTGGGCGCTGTGAAAGGCCTTTGTCTGCAGGCTTCGCTCCAACCCCCCCCCCCCCCCCCCCCTTTTTTTCCGGGACGGGTGTGCGACTTATACTTCTGTCAGATAGGCATTTTATAAAGGCCTTCAGAACAAGCTCCTTTATAAAATCGGCGAACCAGCGCACGCCGTAGAGCGCGTGCGCACTCAACATCGCGAGCAGATTCCCTGATTTCATAAAGGAGCTTAGTGAACAGAACCTTTAGAACACCGTCTGACAGGGGTATTAGCATATCATCAACTAACGCGTGACCACCAGGTCTCGGCCACTGTTGACTGGCGACAACGCCCGGCGCCGTGTTGGTGTTGAGACGCACCTGAACAAGGAGGATAACAGCGCATGAAGGCGTATCAACGATGTCGTCATCAAAAAACAAAGATATATCATAAAGCACTTTATTTTTATCGCTTATGCTGATAGAGTGGGCAGGGGGGGCTATGTTGCACGTTTTGGACTCCCAGGAGACTAGGGAGAGGGAAGTGACGTCAACGATACAGCAAACGCAGATTGGATGTTGACAGAAGAAAACAAAATCAACATCCAATCTGCATTTGCTGCGTTGTTGACGTCACTTCCTTCTTCCTAGTCTCCTGGGAGTCCAAAAAGCGCAACATAGCACCCCAGGACACTCCTCGAGCGGGCCGTTCTATGTTGCGCCACGTGACTAGCTTCACCAGTCCAGCGCTCCCCGGAGAAAGCCGCTCGCTCGCGCGCTATAGAAAAGTGTGATTAGGACATACATCGTCAGTGAGCACACCCTTGCAGCAGCTAGCTACTGCATTTTAAAAGGTCTTTTTTCCCCACATGTAGAGACTTCTGGCAGCAAACTCTACATCCAGTGCCAACGAAGCGGCAGTTCCAAGTGTTCGAGCCCAGCCCAAATTCATTTTCCAACACATCCAGCTCACACGCAGACGACCTTGACCTTGTGGCGCCGTGTCACTCTTGGGCCGCCACCGTTGTTGTGGAGTCCGGATCAAGGAGTGAAAGGATTCCGAAGTCAAGAGCTGATCCCTGAAGGTCCAAAACGCGTGAGGCCACACTTCTCCACCATATGAAGCGGAAGGTGAAGTCCGGCAGTCCGTTTTCTCTCTGGACACCACCAGGCAAATACCACGGCTTTGTTCCTCACCTCCGCCGCTTTTCCTTGACGTTAGTCCTCATCAGAGTTGACGTCACACGGCACCTGTCAATGGTGTGCTTGTTGCCAGTCCATCTGTTCTGCCGCGCCGCCTTCGTATACTTCCCTTTCCCGTTTTCGAAGCAGCGGATCCTTCAGCGATGGACCAACGGCCAACAGAGCGTATGATCTCCGGAGCCACGTGAGGAGCACCCTCTAGGCCTCCTTGAAGAACAAAAGCGGACTTCGCTGAAGGCCTCCGCTGCTTTACCTTTCCCCCCGGCAAGAAAAACGCACGGAGGCGGATCGCCGCACTTAATATGGCGGAGAAGTGTCGCTTCACGTAGACTTCACGCGTTCTTGAGGTGACCGGTTCGGACAGCCTTTTAGACGTCCCGGCATCCTCGCTGAAAGGTACAAATACCGGTGGCTTCTCTAGCGGAAAAAGCACTTTACTCTGTTTATTGTTCGAGCAATGATGTTTGTAAAAAGCGTGCGAGCAGCCTTCCGCGATCGCCGCCAGCTGATAGAGTGGGCAGGACGACACCCCTCGAGCGGGCCGTTCCATGTTGCGCCACGTGACTAGCTTAGTTACCGCGAATGGCACCAGTCTAGCGCTCCCCGGAGAAAGCCGCACGCTAGCGCGTTATAGACAAGTGTGATTAACACTGTACATACTTCTGTAAATATGTTAAGTATGGAAAGTACAGTATGGCCCTCCCCATAGGCGTAGACTTCGGGGGGGGGGGGGGGGGGGGCATCGGGGCTCGTGCACCCCCTAATAAAATTCGAGGGGGGGGGGGGGGGCTCTGCCCCCCCCCCCTTGTGCTTGGGCCATGATCCTAACCGAGACGCTGTTTACGTGCCATGTAACGAGCTTCTAGTAACGGGTATAACTAAACAAAATGTCGCCCATGTCGCCAACTTGCCTTTAGTGACAAAATACATGGGAAGTAGAATCCCAGCAAGCTTTCGTTAGCTTCAATGTCCAGTTCTGGCGAAAAGATAACGCTCAGCCCTCCACCCCCCTCCTTTTCCAGAGAACTTCTCAGCCTCAGCCTCCTGGGAACAGTTCGAAGTGTATGTCGGCCATTTCTTATAAATCTGTACTACCAGTTAATCACGATAGCAACATTGTTAATACACTATTTCAAAAACATAGCACCGTGATGTAGTGTTTAAAAAAATAACGAGATTTCTGAAACCTTTTATTCGCCGTCATGCTTTTCTTTCAAAATTCTTTCATCATGGAGCGTAACAAAACCTTTGTGTTGTTGTTTGATGATAAACATAAAATTAAAATTATCCTGCAACGAAGCCCGTAGCCATCCCATCCTATTCCATCAATCTAGCCGGCGGCCGAGCGAGGTGGAGTGGTTGACGATGTAATAGAAACGTTTCAACTGCCTCTCTTCCCTATTTTATACAATCTCTATGGTTCATAGCTTTTACGGTTACAAAAACATAACCTCTCCTTTCTCTAAAGCACAAATTGCATGGCCCAAACTGGAAACCAGAAGAGTGACTTTTGTCGTGACCCGAATGTACAATGACTTGTTGCCCTGAATCAACCTTGACGGGATAAGCTTTAAGTCCCCTCTTGACAACGGTTCGAGATTTGAAAGATAATGAAGGTTGCATTTTCCCAAGACAATTTACCCTGTGCTAAACCAATTGTAATAAAAAAAAAAATCTCTTCTTTTTTCTTGAGGGGGGGGGGGGGATTCCGAGTCAAGAGGTCCAACGAGTCAAAAGATCCATTATTGGACCTTCTGACTCGTTGAACTTCTTGACTCGTTGGACCTCTTGACCCACATTGGATCTCCTGACTCGTGTTTGGCGAGTCAAAAGACCCAACGAGTCGAAAAATCCATTATTGGACTTTTTGACTCGTTTGACCTCTTGACTCCCTGTCCGATCCCCGGGAAAGGGGCGGATGGGCTGAGAAGAGCAGGAAAAGAAAGGAAAGCAAAACTACGATGAATGACGGCTTTCGGGTAACAAGGAGGGGCGTTACGGTCATTGCACTGCAGCGGGGTGGGATCCCGCGACTAGTAACAAAGCAACAAAAAAAAAAAAAAAGAGGGAGATGAGAGAAGAGGTACAGTGGGCCTTGGGGACGAGACGTTTTGGGATCTTGATTGGCTGGCTGTGTCACGGCGTTGTGCGTTTTCCATTTCAATCGGCTGGTTGCCCACGCCATCTCTTCGTGCGGTATGATTGCGACCAGTCCTGCCTGGCAGATGCCGGCGGCGACAGATGCATTAAAGGGATGGTGAACCGAAATTTGGTTTTGAAAAAAACAATGCAGGAGGTGTAGGCGGGACGCTACAATCCCTACAACACTACTCGCAAGGCGATATCTCGAATGGACGACCGTATTTTTGGAAAAAGAGGTCGAGATTGAACCAGGCCGACGAGGCCCGTGACGTCAAGATACCGTGTTCCCTCCTCTCTTTGCTTCGCTCCCTGAAGGCCGCGAGGCGGAGAAGACGCGAGGCCGTTCCCTCTCCTTCTCAGAGAAACTTCACGTCAACATTCCTGCAAATGCGCCTCCTTTTTTTGAAAAATACGGTCATTCGTTCAAGATATCGCTGTATGAGTGATGTTTTGGTGTTTGTAGCATCCCGTTGCACGCTTTTGCCGCGTGTTTTGGGAAATTGAAATTTCGGTTCAGCATCCCTTTCAGGCGGTTAGCCGCGCTACACACGTGTTTTTGCAGCCGGCTCAAGCTAACAGCAAGGGGCCGTAAGAGACGGCGGGAATCCCGCCCGGGAAGGACGTATACATAATGTTCTTTGGGTTTACTAGACTGCTTCTAAAGCGTTTTCCTACATTCCACCGCTGCCTCTTGAGTACTCGAATGCGGGTTCTACGACGAAACAATCAGTCAAGTCTCGAGCAAAACTCGCACTTCATTCCCGAAAAACGACGGGGAACCTGTTCTCAGATTTCTCGCATGCATGCTGCATGTTATATAGTCTATGGGTGCGGCGGGCTGCCTCGCTTTGCTGGCGGAGCATTGTTTCCTAGCCATAAGCAAGAGAAGTTAATTTACTTACACTGCAAAGTCTGCACGAAAAAAAAAAAGAAAAAAACTTTCAGTGGGACAATCCGGATTATATGGAACTCGCAAGAGTTAAAGAATATGAGAATGTCCAAGGTCTAAACGGAATCCCAAAATAAATATGAGGATAACGCATCGGCCCATCAAGTACATTCACTGCAGCTTGTTCTGTGTTGTTTTAATTTGGCTTTGTTTCTCTGTGCTCAAAACATCAAAAAGAGAGGGGTTCTAAAAAGACTCCGATGCTGTTGTCTTCGATCAAAGTTTGAGGTATTCCGCGATGAACGCCGCGAAAATCTTGTTCAGGTTGGTGATGACTGCGTGATCCAGAATGTCTCCGTTGTCCTTTACGGTGTGCCACTCTGGCGGGAACGGGAACGTGATGAGATGCAGGATGGGCACGTCTGCGTCCAGACAAACAAAAGAAGGGCATAAATGAAGGAACTGTTGCATCAAGTATAGACTTGGGAAAAAGACGTACAAATCAGTTACGCTTTTTTTTCTTTTTACTTCTATGAAATCGAAACGTACACATGAAGCATATTTCTGTACGATTTAAACCTCTGAAATCTACTTTTAGTAGACTTCTAACGTGCTTTGTGTATAGTGTTGTGTTAAAACTTTAAATTGGGCTAGTTTAGGGGTGGCCAAGCTGCGGTTCGCGAGCCGCATGCGGCTCTTTGCGTGTTAAAGTGCGGCTCGCGGCTCCCTCCCTTACAAAAAATTTATATCAGGCCAGATCTGAAGATTTCAGATATGGCCATATCAAAAATTGGCCACATATAACCTGATATGGTATATCTGCCAGATATAGCCTCATAATGCCAGATATAGGCTATATCTGGCAGATATACCATATCAGGTTATATGGGGCCAATTTTTGATACCCCTGGCCAGGTATGGAAATCCCAGATCTGGCCAGGCATTTTAAAAGGACACAAGCCTGAAATCAGCACTTTATATCTTTTTATTGTCTACAGTTCTCCCAAGTGCCCCGGCCCGCACTCGAGGAATTATGGGAACGATGATGCTTTAGCTCCCTAGTGATCGCTAGTTCAGAGCGATTCCATGGTTACACAGTTTCGAGTGTAATTCGTAGTCACCCTGAACAAGCGTTCCACCGGGCTCAAGTACCTGTCATATCACTTTTAAATTTTCTCGTAAATGGCAGCGTTTATGATACTGTGCATTTTGTCCAACCTTCAACCAGGCTGAGCCGCCGAAATCTCTTACCATATTATCATTCTCGTGGTTGTTGTTTTAGCAGGAATTACTTAAAACCCGAAAAATCACAACCCAAACCTGAATTTAGCTCGGATTCAGCGGAGCTTTTCATGACATTTTTAGCGTTTCTAACTTAATATTATCGTCTTTAAAGCTGTACGAGAATGATAATAATCTAAGAGATATGTCTGCAGCCCATCCAGGTTGAAGGTTGGACGGAATGCACAGTACTGACATTGGCGGGACATTTTAAAAGTGGTATGACAGGTACTTGGATTCTGTATGACACTTGTTCAGGGTGACTCCAAATTACACTCAAATCTGTGTAACCATAGAATTGGTCGAAATTTTCGATCACTGAGCAGCTGAACAAACACCGTCCCCATGATTCCTCAACTACGGGCCGAGGCGCTTGGGGGATTTAGCAAATTGTCTATTCGGCCGTAATGTTAACACTTTGAAATAATTAAGCTACATTGAAATCCTCGTGAAAACTAACACAAATAATCTGAAACTTAAGCTTGTCAAAACTGAAGTTTTTGATTATTTGTGCTAATATTTAGCTCGCGAACAATGAGTCATTCACAGTTTGCTAACAAAGAAATTTTTAAACTTTTTTTAACTTCTAATATATTGAAAACCGGCCGCTAGATAAGTCTGTATACACGCCAGATAAGTCTGTATATGCGCCATATCAGGCTGTATATACGCCAGATAAAGCTGTATATAAGCCGCATATAATCATATAATGTTTGATATGGCCAGATATGACCCAGATATAAGATTTCCATACGGGCTCCCTTCCCCCCCACACCCCGCACTTCCCCAAAAAGAGAAATGGAACGTGTTTTAAATCGAAAGGCAGTTTGCGGTTTGTTAGTCTAGTGCCAAGGTGCTGCGTGCCCATGCCGGAGCAGAAACGGCGTAACCGCAGCGACGTTTCGGCATGGTGACGTTTCGGCACCGTGCCGAATTTCGTGATCCCCGTGAGGTCCCGTGACCCCCGTGACGTTTCGTGACCCCTGTGAGGTCTTGAGGGTCACGCGACGTCACGAGGGTCACGTGACTTCACGGTTACGCCGACGGCGACGGCGTAACCGTGAGGAGGGCGGGGTAGCAGGCAGAATGAGGAGGTGAGGAGGAGGGGCATACCCTCCCCTCAATACCCTTCCCTCTTCCTCCTCGAGAGCTGCGCTCTAATTCGGCGCTACTGGAAGTTTTAAACGACTTTCATATATTTTTTGAAGATTGGCTTTAGAAGAAAAATTAAATTGTCTTGTCAAACTCCCCACACGCCGTCACATTGTACATTGAACGCTACATTGTTTTCGTTTGTCTTTTTTTTTTTTTTTTTGTCGGAGAGCATTCCCTGTATAGTTACTACATGCCTCTGCAGATATGAAACTCCCCTTGCTGACAAATGGAGACGACGTGAAAGTTAGTTCGAGCGTGGGTTTCTTCGTCAGATTCGGCAAACCTTCGTACTTTTTTTTTTTTTTTTACAAGTTCGACTTCAATAGTGTTGCCCGACTTCCACATCAAAATTTCCGATCCTGGAGAAAAAATAACTTAAGTTGTAGAAGGGTTTGTTTTCAATTTCAAAAGAATAATTCTCATAGTCTTCAGAATGTATACAATTTTAAGCTACTGACAACTATATATTCGGTGGATGGGTTGCACCGAATATTCGAAAAGGCGATTCGACAAGGGAGTTCGCCGGGTGTCTCAAGACTTACTTTTTTTAAGAAACGGAATGTGGTCGTCTTGGATGTTTCCGAGAGCTGGCGAGTTGGTGAAGTAAGATGTCTTCTGCTGAGACCCTGATACCTCCAGAAGGCTCGCGTCGTTCAGTCGCTTTTCTTCAAGTGCGGCGAAGAGAGGAAAAAAGACGCTTCACTTTAATGTCGCAAATAAGCGCATTCGTCATTTTTGTCTCAACAACACACAGGGTGTTTCTCCTAGCGAGGAAAGCGTAAAATGCGAGAAAATACGCGTATGAAAAAAAAACAAATGCTACAACCAAGTGCTCATTACAAAACCAGTGTGTTTTTAGTTCAATTTAGCGATCTGTTTGATAATTTGCATTCTTTCTGCGCAGCGTTTGAAACAGTCGACGACGTACTTTTCTTGACAGCTATACGAAAAGTCATCCAACTTAACTTTTTAAATATAATAAAACAGGCAGTACTTCTGACGCGGGGATTTAGTAGTCAAGATTTTCTTTGTACGTAATCCACATTTCTCGAACATTTTACAATACAACATCATTACAGAAGTCTTCGTACTAATTACAGTGATGAGTATAAGGAATTAGATGAGCCTCGTTTTTCATAAGCAATTTGTAATTAGAAAGATTGTTTGTAGACACAGATTTGCTTCTCTTTACCGGCGTGAATGGAGCTCCAAAATATTTGAAAACAACTTACCAATGTCAGAAAGCCTCAGGAATAAAGGCTTCGTGTTTTCAAAGTAGCTATAGAATGTAGGACCGGAAGCACCCAGCAGGTCAAGCAACGCCATCGACTCCTGCACCAAAATAATGTTTCGTAAGCGTACCGTGATGGTCTAATACACGCTAAAAAAAAATTTACCAGGACATATACTAAAACTTTCACTTTCAAAACGACACCTGCGAAAGCACGACGCAACTATCGAATGCATAAGGCGAAGAATCGATATGTTGGCACCTGCCCTACACTTTGCGGCGCACTGCAGGCATTGCGTTGTGCAGTTGGCGGAGCTCGCGGGGGCGTAGGTTTTATGGCAGTTGGCCATAAAACCTACGCCTTCTCCCCCAGATCTTCAACCATGGCACAAAAGGCTCACCATGCGGTCGAGCTGGTGCGTGACCGGGTGCTGCGCGACACAGCCGTCCAAGGTCTCCTGAGAAACCCTCTCCTTGGCCCATTTCTCGGCGAGGTGCCTGGAGCCGTACAGGGAATCGGTCGAGGTCCACTCAACCAGCGCCTCTTCCCCGTCGAAGAAAATCAGCTGCACCGTCACACCGTCCTTCTGCGAGGAAATTCAGCTCTTAGGCTTCATTGGGGAGGAAGGCCGAAAATCACACGAGCTCGCTCGTGCTGAAAAAAACCGGCGAGCACAGAATGAGCGAGGCTGATGAGGGCGAGTCGGGCCTAGCGCAAAACGGCCACGTCATGTCATAATGTCATGACGCCACGGGGCATCGCGCAGCGTGACGCCATACCACACGTCACAGAGTCACGTGATAACGTGGCGTCAGGTGACATTATGATTTCACGTTACTCGATAACGTCGCATGACTCCGTGACGTCGCACGACGTCATGGTATCCTGACGTCACGTGATCTAGTCACGTCACGCGTTTTGTAAGCTATGATGTAACGGTGTAACATGTCGTTCAAATCTAAAAGTCAAATCAAAGTTGTTGTTTTTTCCTGGGATTGGGTCAATAAAACACATTCTCCGTTAAAATTAATAGTGTTGTTTGTGTGGGCTTAGACAGCTGGAATTGAGGTTGAAACAATCCCAATAGGCGTCTGGTGTATTTGCTGTAAACAGTGGTGCACCGGCCCGTGGGGGGGGGGGGGGGGGGGGATTTGGGGGTTCGATTTCGCCCCCCCCCCCCCCTTCTCCCCCAGAGCTCTTGTTTTGTTTTGCTTTTTACACCAAGGATTCGTAGAGTGAGAAAAAAAAATGCCCGAAAGGGCCCTTAGGGCAAATAAATAAATAAATAAATAAATAAGTAATTAAAATAGGTATTTCTGCCTCACGGGTTAGAGCTCTTCCAAAATTAAGCCTGCTCACTTCTTTCGCTATCATCATCGGGGTGTTGGACATTTGTGAGAACTAGTGCCACTAAATAAGCTAAGCTTCAGGGTAAAGACACTTACCCATCTTGTGGCTTAATATCATGTTTGCCAGTTATCTGAAGCTTTATCTGAAATCACAGGAAACGCTTTTCCGCCCTCCACAAATGTTCAAACAGTTCGCGACAGAGCGGAGCGATGACATATGAGCTTCCCCACACCGAATCTAATGCTGAGGAAGTCGCACATTTGAACCATGACGATCGGCAGTCGCGTCTGCTCTGCACAAGCACCAGAATGATGGCGCCCACAACAATATCGAGGAACAGAGTGCCGATACTCTAAGCGTAGCTCATTTAGTGACTCTAGTGAGGGCATGCTACACCTCATTATGGCTAGTCAGCATAAATGCATAGTGCTTTGTTTTGTAGGAAGAAAAAAATTATCCCATGGGTGCCATGAAAATAATGCACAGCAGGGTGAATTCCTTCGATTAAAATATAAGCAGCTTTAAACTTTTAACAATTTTTCTTTTTTTACTTGGAAACGATTCTACGCTAAGCCTTTTTGTTAAAAATCATCAAATGGCATACTGGGCCATTGTTTCGTCTATAAAAAAAATGCAAGAAAAGGTCCAATAGAAAGCAAGCTAAATTGACTTAGATATCCTCTCCAGTTTGTCAAAATAAACACGGTAGTGACCCAAAAATCATTTGTTGTTTACACGCGATCGCAGTATATAGGAAATGCAGGTTTTTGTTTCTATGCTCCTTTACTTAGTAAACCACATTTGATACTTTTACTAAACAAATGCACTACCTTCCTGTGTACCCATGTACACCGAAATTTGTTTAAAAAGTCGATTTAGCACTCGATTTAAGAGTTTCGCAGCATTCAAATGCTCCCTGTATATTTCGTATGCTTCATTTTTATTCAATAAATGTTCATTATAAACATTTGAGACCTGCTAATTTGGAACAAGAAAGTGAGGTGTTTGTTTTAATAAGTGTTGCGGGGACAAATAGGCGGGTGCAGTGAAAGTTCCAAGTATTTGTATTTTATTTAATAAATTAAAACATTGTATAGATATAAATTCTTACTCAATAGGAGCTCTTGAAGTTCTAGGTTTCGAATATCTTCTGATAAAAGTCACCTCTGATCTCCGCTCTTATTTTTCGTCGGTAGTCACCTATAGCTTAATTAAAACTTGTTGTTGGCCTAGTTGGCTGGTTGTCCGTGTCTACTCGCTTGTAATTGTCCCCTGTGTCGCGCAAAAAACCTCTATACTGCACCTATAGCTTGCGTGTATTCCTTCTGCACTTTTACCTCCTTGGACATGACAGGCCATAACAAAGAAAAACAAAAAAAAAAACACACACTATATAAAACAAGCAGGCTGATTTGCTGTGTTTGATCGTACAAACGCGTATATTAATTATATGAATTTCAATCATGACATAACAGCGCGTCGCTGTTGTATCATGCGTTTTTTTTATTATATCGCCTCCTGAAATCCGCAAAAATAATGTTGTTTGTTTTTGATCACGTCCCACCGGTGAAAACAGAGAGAGGAAGAGAAAGATTTTCAGGGCGTGCTTAAAGTTGCGAGCTCAGAGTAACTGAATATGTTCTGCCGTGGGAATACGGCGAAGCGAGTGCGCGCGGTGAGCTATCTGTTTGCGCGTCACCGTGGTTTTGGGTGGAACCCTAGGATAATATATGCTGAGAATATTTTTTTTTCTACTTCGGTACTTGCCGTGAGCGAATCGGCCTTTTAGCGAATAGCGGAGGCGCGGGCCACCCGATTTACTCACCAAAGGATGTCATGTACCTACCCTGAGCCTCTGTTCCGTCAGGTTTGTTTGCAGTACCCTCGCAATGTGAACGAGCTGAGCACAAGGCACGGCAGAATCAACGGCACCAAGGAACTCTCCCCCTTCGTGGATCTTTGAATAAACAAAAGAAAGGAGAATTATTATCGCGTTTAATATTGCATCAAACCGACTAGAATGTCTATAAAAAAGGAAAAGAAATGTGCAATGAATGACGACCTCATGCATCTGAAGTTAGAATTTTAAAGCTCTTCAAAGAGGCAATAAAAGCAGGTTATTGTTCGTCTGTTAGGAATATTCTTGCCCTCCTGCAAAACTACCCATGACAAGAATTAGTCATTAATAACAGTTTTGGCAGGAATCTATAGTATAGAATGGTAACGCGGTCGTTCAAACCCGCTCAGGGCTTGGAATAAGGAGAGATAATAGAGATCATACTCTTTCGCAGCGTTCATCTATTTAAGGTGATACATTGTGCACGTACTTACTTTGGTGGTTGCAAATTACTTATGCGCGATTCAGTTAGGCTCTGTCTGTTGAAATTTGGAAGCGTCACTGCCGTATTCCGCGGCTTCGTATTTGTATTTTTATTCCCAAATACAACCTTATCCTTACCACTATCCTTATCCTTATGAGGGCACATATGAACCCACCAAGGGCCATACATTTAAAGGTCCTCCTGATAAAAAGCAGCCAATAATCAGTGTATCAGTTTCCAAATCTTCACCATTGCACATTCTATATACGCTTACATAGTTGGCTTATTTCCAGAACACGTCATGACCACTATAGGCTCCATAACGGCTCCACTAAGCCATTAGTAGACCACCAACTGCCACTAAAGTGCCAACACTCGTAATGCGTTGGCAACATGGTACTGAACCATCCTAAATCCCTCCTTTTCGGTAGTAATGTCAGTACATAGCCTACTACCGTGGGCTGCCTGAGATACCTTGGAATCGTAGTGGCAGGCGAGGACCAGACGGTAGCAGGCGTCGGGATTGTGGGTCGCGATCACGTTCGAGAAATTCCTGGCTCCGAGAGGGGTGTTGTCGCCGAAGGAGTCCAGTTCCACGTTCCAGCCCAGGTTTTTCAGTGTGTTAGCTATATACTGCAAAGTGAAACGAGCAATGACATCCAAAAGGCCCTAACGTCCTCTTGACATATGCAGTCGAGATTATGTTAAATGACATGCAGCAGGGGCTAAAGTCATCTTGAAATACGCGGTTGAGAAGATGCTAAATGAGAACTACGTGTCATATGACATGTCATTTACATAATTTTTTTATGATTATTCGTGTTTATTAGACAAGCCATTAATTATTTTTCATGGGAAGTTTAGCACTATTGGATGCAGTCTGGTAACGATGTGCGTACGGACTGGCATGTCAGCTGACTATAGATGGGGGCAATACCACAATGGGTTTCCGCAATTCACTCTAAATTAAACGAATATACCAGAAATTGACATCTTATTCGATAGCTGCGATGTTGAATAAGACAAAAAAAGCCAGGAATGGATTACGTCCCATAGACACCCAACACTATCAAAACATCGTATTCCTTCTTTCTTTTTTTATACTCACCTTTCTGACTTTGAGGTTGCCGGGGCTTCCCACAGTACGCGGAATGAGAATCTCCTTCAGCGTTGTGTTGAACTGGTCACGGGTCTCGGTGAAAGCAGTGCTCAGATGAACGAGTTTTTCCAGGGGGAGTGACTTCAAATCTCTGCGCCATTCCTAACGAAACCACGACGACAGGAATTCATGTGGTGGAGATACTGTCAACTAAGGACAGGAATGTTAGCCTCGAACGTTTACTAATGATTGCAGGCTACCGACAGCTTTATATCAGGTCCCCGAAAGCAATACACTGAAACATAAGCCGTGGTCACTGACTATGCAAGAATGGTGGCGAAGAAGCTTCAGCTGTCCCACCTCCAGAGCGAGCTTCTATACCTTCGATAATGCTTCAGCGTCTCGTACACGTCGAGCGCTCACGTCCAGCCAAAGCACGGCGTGGAGCAAAGTCTCCTCTATACTCACAAAGCCTGACAGTTCGACGACAAAGACCTAGAGTGCCCGCGGTCGCAGATTTGGAGCGCTAGGATCTGGTAGCACAGAGCATCAAAAATCCATTTCTCGGGGAACCTGGATATCAGCGCACAGCGTTTGCAGAGGCGAGGACCCGAAACACACTTGTCCGCTCGGGAGAAGCGTGTTTCGGCGTCTCGCCGCAGAGGGGCGCCAGTCACGTGGCTCGCCTCTCATCCGTTGTCTGCCGCCCCACCTTTTCCATTTCGGCGCTCGCTTCCCGTGGCAATCTGCCAGGGTTTGTCAGTACTTTAGGAGGCTATGCGTGGAGGGATGGAGCGCGTGCTGGAGGCCGGGCGCTCGAAAGACACAACCCTACCGTTCTCACTCTGTCACTGATGCGGAGAGCAAGTCGTCTGCTTGTTGCGCACGAGCTGCCGTGACGTCAGAACGACGCCGACCTCTGATTGGTTCTAATTGGAAGGAATGCGGGTATACCTCAATGCTAGATGCCTTGAAGTCTGCCCACTATTTTTTTCCCCAACCAGCAAATAACAGTTCGGCGTTCTGACAACCCTGTGCAAGAAGCAGACGAACTTACGCTCCGCATAGTTTCGATATTTTTTTATGAAACAAAGCGCATTTCATATTCCATTTATTGATTCATTTTATGGGTACCTTTCTGGCTCGTACAGGGCATTGAGCAAAGCCGGGTTCGCACTGCTCATACAGCATACAAAGAGACAGCCTGCCAACACGAGTTACCGCGGTATCCGGTTCGAATGCCGCAATTGCCAAGTTTCCTCCTTGAACGCACGGATCTCGTGGTGACTGCATTCGAACCTGTACGCAAACCGTCTTTTGTTATACGACGTGCATAAGCAGTGTGACCCCGGCTTAAGGTGAAATTTAAAACACGTGTATTTAAGATACCCAAAAGCAGAAAACCACAATGCGCGAAACCAACGACGAGGCACCACTAACCACCATTCAATATTTCCTCCCTGCGTGCTAGTGAACACCCCAACATCACCTAGATAATCACAAGGCCTCCGCACCGTGATCGCACCGTGATCGCACCGTCATCACAGTCGGATCGATCGAGGCCTGAGATTGGGCACGAGTGCTGCGTCAGTGCTCGGCCGGGGCTCCTGTCCAATCAGCGCGTCGAAGGCCGGACTCGAGACCAATAGCCGAGTTAGCGCGATTCGACTGTGATGACGTTTCATAGAGGGAGAGGAGGGCATGCGGAGGCTTTGATTATTCTAGGTGGTGTTGGAACAGCCACGGTCACCGAGAACTTAAAAAAACGCGGGGGTGTGGCAAGTCTCTGGCATCTTATTACCGCTCAGCAGCCAATAGGATTATGGCATCAACCGAAGAAGCATTAGCATTACACTCTAAAATAAGTCTGTGCGTCTATTTTTACGCACAACACTCGGAGAACCAATCAGCGCAACTTACGGAGGCAGCTCAGCGAATGACGATGCCGAAACATCTGTTTAGACCAAAAAACGCAGACTGAATTGTGACATTAAGCAATGCAAGCGTGACGTTTTGCATTGCTTAATGTCTCAACTAAGACTGCGTTTTTTTGTTTTTTCTTTTTTTTCTTTTTTGTCTAAACATATATTTCGGCATTGTCATTCGCTGAGCTGCCTCCGTAAGTTCCACTGATTGACTCTCCGAGTGTTGTGCGTGGAAGTAGACGCACAGACTTCTTCTATAGAGTGTAATATAAGACGCGCTCACCTGGGCTTCGACGTCTGGGTAGAGGTGCCTCAGGATGGAATTTTTGTGCCAGTTAAACGCCACACATTGAGCCGCGAGAACGACGAGCAGCAGCCACGCAGCATTCCAGAATTTCATCATGAGTTCAGCTGCAGCTCCTTAACGGTGAGTTAATTGTTGGCCAAGAGCTGTGAGCACGTTCCCGAAGGACGCGCACCTGCGCGATTACAAACAATAACGTCGCGCCCCAGCTCCAAGGAACGTTCTTTGAAAACATAAATGTGGTTATACTTATAATATGCGCAATTGAAAAAGTTACGGAGGTATTGTGTGGAAGGCCGCAAGCTGTCACCCATCCTGCTCGTGGCACAGCCGATATTTATATTTTAAAAAAGGGTGTCGCCCTAAGGCATTTACTCATTTCAATTTTCCCTTATTCTTTTTTTTTTTCTGATATGATGTATAAAACTGTTTACTTCCTATGTGTGCAGAGTTTTTCGTCTCGCTACTTATGAGTTTGCGGAAGGTTCGTACTTTCATTTGTATAATATACCTCTGTAAATTGTACGGGCAGAAACATGGACCAATGGTCACTTCATTTTCTAAAGCATCGTTTTTTTTTTTTTTCTTTCTTTCTTTCGTACTTAATTTGTGTCCGAAATTTCGTAAAAGATTCGGATTTGAAAGTTCATTCTTTGTCACTCTTTTGAAGCCTGTTCGATAGATTTTATTTTCGTTTTAAGATGTTTTGTTCTGTGCGTAAGTTTTTTTAGAAATGTCTGTTGACAAACGTGTAGGGAACCGAAGCCCCTAAGCAATCACGAACGTTTTGTATGCCCTTATGTAAGGGGCACGACTGAACGCGTGGCTTCATAACGCGCTGCACCATTTTCTTTCACAACACTGGACAACCTATGTGAAGTGGAGTGTAATCAGGCGCCAATTCTTTTAATCGATTGCGTACGTTGCGGAGCCGGAGAGTACATCGAAGAATGACTGGTACTGCTACGATTATCACGTTGACTCATGTTTGTCTAGCGACTTTTGAAGTGCTCATGTTTCTGACAGAGCTCGTGAAGGTCACCAAGGCCTTTGATGAATGTCACCAAGGTCCGGCTGGCACTCCTAGCCGAGAGTGAAATCTTGGAGCGTGAAAGTTCACTCATACAAAATTTTAGATCATACTAGTTGTCCCATTAATCTTTATTAACAAAACAAATAAATCTCAAAGGCAGTCGAGGCTAGTTTCACTTAAAGAACACACCGTCCACTCTCCCCGACGTAGTTTCTGTCACATGTGAGTAGGATCCAATACATCAAACCCAGTATCCAGTGACACTAATTACACCCACACTGGGTGTAATTACACCCATTCCTGGAGCACCGCAGCTTCCACCACGCTTTTCTTTTTCCGCACGAGCGACGTCGCAACAGCGAATTCGGAAGTAAAATCGCTCCATGTGAATAGGGCATGAGACACCCGAAGAATACAGAAAGAATTTCCACCTGAAACATTCATGAGTTTATTACTTTATTATTTATTTCAATACCTTCAGGGCTCGCAGAGGGGTGTGTCTAAAAACAAGCCCATATTCAAGAACACACACACACAAAAAAAAAAAAAAAGAACAAAGGCGTACAATGCATTATTGCTGGAAAGTAAAAAATAGTTCGGTCGAATATGTTTTAGCAAAAGTGATTAATCGATGCGACTCTAAAGAAATCAATTGATGGTATATTTACTACAGATGCGGGAAGGTGGTTCTAATCAGAGGACGTTCTCGGAATGAAACAGTCAATGTACGCTGGGGCTTCGCAGCGAGTTATGCCTACTTTAAAGTGATGATCGACGCGCTCCGAAATAAAGGATGGTTTGAGAAATAGTGTGTCCTTCAGTGAGGCGTTAGAATGATAAATTTTGTAAAAGAGACATATACGTGATATTTTTTCGGCGTAATGAAAAAAAGAAGTAATGAGAGAGTGGTTTTCAGTGATGAGGCACTAGCCGTGTGATAATAGTTACAGAATATGAAACGTGCTGCACGATTTTGCATGGCTTCGATGTCATTCACGAACGTTGTTTGACCGGGGTCCCAGATTGCTGTGGTATACTCACGTTTTGAGCGAATGAGTGCTTTGTATAAAATTAGTTTTAAAGACATAGGGACTCAAAAAAAGTTTACCTTGAGATAGCCAAGCATTGAATTAGTATTGGCGATAACGCGATCAGTTTGAGCTTTCTATGACATGTTAATACGTACACCAATATATCTATAAGAAGACACAAACTGCTGAGGAGGGTTACAAACTGAGTACTATAATGGGCACGTGTTTCCACGAGCCACTTTCTTAGCTTTAGATTTGTTAGTATTAAGAGACATTTGCCACACGTTACACCATTCGCATACCGCACAAAGGTCACCTTGATGAAGTGCGGTATCAGATTGGCTAGTAATTTCACGGCAGATTACACAGTTGTCGCCGAATAAACTAATAAATGAGAACACACACATTGGCATGTCATTAATTTAAATAAGAAAGAATAGAGGCCCTGGAACGGACCCTTGGAAAACATTAGAAGTAACAGGTCTGAGACTATAGAATTAGCTTCATTGGTAGTAAGAAACTGCGAACGGCCAGTTAGGAAACATCTAATCTATGTCAAAACATTGTGTTCCATTTAAGTTTACTATAGCATACAAAAAAGGAGTTCGTGAAAAACTTTGTCGAACGCTTTGCAAAAGTTAGGGAAGACACAATCAACCCGAGATCCACGGTCAAGAATGGAAAGTAGATCATCAGTGAAAGTTAGAAGTTGAATTTCGCAGGACAGTGATTTAAAAATACCATGCTGTAAAAGTAAAAAAAAAAGAAAAAAGAAGAAGAAATTCGAACTAAAAAAAAAATTAACGCTGGGAGAGTAAATGATATGTTCTAAAAGTCGACAAGTGCGCTGGTTGAGGAATTGGCTAACAATGAGGCCAGCTTCGCGTTATCTGAAACATCTCTCTTAAAAGTTGACAAAACACGGCTCGACTTAGCAAAATAAAAAATTAAGTAAAAGTTTCCTCCCCTGCATGAAATACTCTTAAGTCACTGGATGCACAGAAAGTAGCGCCCAAGCACCTCGTATGGTCGCCATTTTGGTTCACGGAATTAGCAGTCTCGCGTTCGAAGCATTCGTTTTGCTTCAAATAACTGTAAAAAAAAAAAAAAAAGCGTAGTTCTACTTTTTACCTTATGCCGATCGAATCTCGATCAAATATTAATGAGGAACGCTTACAGTACGTGACGTTCCATAGGGATCTTGGTACGACTGGTTTAGAACAACCTTCTCGGACCTTTGAAGATTTGAATGGACCAAAATGGCGTTTGGGGGCCACGGCAACGGACATCGATTAGCTAATCGCCTTGCGAGGTTTTGGTCGTATGTATGTTAGTATCTGTTTGTGTCCGAGATACAGTGATTTTACAGTACCCCCCCCCCCCCCCCCTTCTCCCAATTGCTTTTTGCTGTATGACCTTCTACATGGGAGGCGAAACGTTTAATTAAAGAGCTTCTTTCGTTAAGTCAAGCCGTTTTTCTTTCCTTTTTTTATCACGTGTTCACCCGGTATCCCTGCATTCCAACAACCGTGCAACCAATCCGGTTACTCACCTCCAATGTTGTAGTATTTCCGCTGATACCGACGAACCAACCGTCTCGTGGGGCTGTGTTGTCTTCAAAAGCCGACCTTTTATGTACGCTGGAGTCTAGGACCCTGACGTCGTTCGTTACAGTACAAGCAAGCGACTAAGAGTGGTAGTCAAAGCAGTGCACTTGTCTTTTTTTTTTTTTTCTTTTTTTCGAATGCGCCTGCAGTGCAACGAAAGCAGCAAGACTGCCTGCTGCCGCTGCTGTGAGAGTTTGAAGAACGCTGACCGCCAGATAAAGGATAGGGATATCGTGAACTTATGGTCAGCGGTTTCCCTCACCCTCGCTCTTGTGGCATGACCTCAACACACACCACCTAAAAGAATCGAAGCTTGTGAAAAGCCTCCTCACATTCAGGTGATGTCTTCACAGTATAGGACGGCACCTTACAGCACCGAGCTTCGTACGGCGGCGTGCTGTCCTGTACATGATACATCACCACTGCGCGTTGAAGACCCCAGGCTATAGCACTGGCTAACATTCCTCGCCTACAGCGTAAACCAGTGCCTGCGCACGATCTCACTATATGATGACGTCAAAATTCTTGTGCTTGGTGGCTATAGCGGAGGCCTTTGGCTAACTGGAAAATGAGTTACGTCACGACACGTTGCAGCTGCGTGCACCACATCGCGGGACAAGAATAAAAACGTTCGTACGTCGCTCGGTGACTGACAGGTATGCACTTTTTCTCCAGGTGGCCAAGGAGCTTACCCTGTATCGTTTTCAGGAGTGGGCCAGTACTTAGAATACAACTCTATTTGCACCCAGCATTGAATCACATTTACGAAATATTTTTGTCGATTGTATTTAAATGCTGAAAAATTAATATTTCATATACCATTGTGATAAAAGAAAACTACTCCACGCCGTCTTCTTCGTGACGTGATGGTTTGAGCACGACGAACAAGCAAAAAAAAAAAAGGAAATTTATGGGCTTGTTTGTTTATTTTTTTGTTTTTTTTTTTTCACTCTAGAACTAGTTGACTGTGAGCTGAATTCATCACATTAGATTACAATTTATAATTATTTAAGAGTCATGTTAAATGTTTTCTCATCCTTCCCTTTAAGTATTTAGGTCGATGATTTTAACAATTTTCAGATAATTACATTACTGAAAGTTCTTTTCTTTTTTTTTTTTCAGGGTTATTTAAATTATATTTTGCCTCTAGGTAGCCGAGTTTCCTTCTCATACACGATGTCATGGGAGCTGCGGCCATCCGGCAATACAGTTCCGAGAGGACACGTGGCTGTCTCTGAAAGCTCGCATTGGGTCGCAGGAGTCGTACCTTTTGTCTGCGAAGTTATACGTGGAACGGAGGATACGGTAAACAACTTGGTTTTCTTAAAGACTTCCGTTTCGACAATTTCGCGATTTGGAAATAATTACGAACAGTATGTCCCGCGAATAATTCGCCCCCATGGTAACGAGTCGACTACACCACAG